TGTGTGTGTGTGTGTGAGAGAGAGAGAGAGAGAGAGAGAGAGAGAGAGAGAGAGAGAGAGAGAGAGAGAGAGAGTATGTAATTGCATACGTGCCTCCTCTCCTTTCCCCAAACCCCATTCTCTCTCTCTCTCTCTGCATATGTGTGTGTGTGTGTGTGTGTGTGTGTGTGTGTGTGTGTGTGTGTGTGTGAACGAATGAATGAGTTGTTGTGTGAAGTAGTGAAGGTTTGAATAAGCACGCGAGAGAAGATGGACGAGTGGGTGGATCGGGCGGACGCGATGGCGACGGTCTGAACCAGTCGGTTCTGTTAATTCGTTGGATATACTCTATATGTGTTTCGTGTGACGGACGGACGGACGAAACGCTTGGCATGTCAGCTTGGTGGAGGGTCTCTATGGGAAGGAACCAAATTGAAACATATCGGCTCCGCCCTACTTTTGCATGTGCAACACTTTCCTCTACTGGAAGCGCTAAGGGTCTCTAATCAGAATCCTCCTTAAAATAGATGGCTGGTTTCCCAATTGGCTGTCTGCATCGCACAGCAAGATTTGAATTACCGTAAAAAGTCCAGTGTCGATGAATAGATGAAATGCTTTCTCCCCGTTTTCCTCGACCATCGTTTGAGAAGCCTTTCTCAGTACACAGACGGAGCAGCGATGCGGCTGAACGACTGTAGGCTTGCTTGCAACATTGGATACAGGAGACATGCAACAAGACAGTGATGGACGTGAAAAGACGGAAAAAAAAAAAAGGCAATTACAGTACTTACAGTATCATCCATGAAACGATCCCGAATTCGCTCCTTCAAGTTCCCCCTTCGTGCCTCCCCCCTAACCTTTCACTGATAGCCTTTTTGTTCCCCCTCTTAACCTTTCATTTGATAGCCTTTCATTGATACGCTCCTTCAAGTTGCCCCTGCCTTGTATGTGTGTGCGCACCAAGGTACGTTCTTTCACCATTGTCATCACTATTGTCGTCATTGCTGTTGTGGTTATCGACGCTAACAGGTGCATCTTGCTGTCGGTATTACTATGATAATCGTCTTAATCATTGAGGATTATCAGGAAGTAGACCCTGTCCTATTGAGCCGCCGGCCTGTCATCAAAAGGTGTACTCTGCCTCAACAGAGCTGTCTGAGTGAAGCTCTTCCCGTCTGTTCCCCTTGCTGGAAACCCGACCAGATTCCTGCGGTGAACTGACTGTAATTGTTGTTCAATTATTTCGTCGTTGAATGTGATGATGCTGATGTTCATTGTGCTGCTGACGGCGATTATTACGTTCTTTTCTTGTTTGCTTTATGGGCATTAACATGCGCGAAATGTGGATGATGGTGATGACTAGGACGAGGGTAGAAGGCGGGGGCGAATGCTCTGTGCAAGTACGTGCTGTGGGAGAAGAGGGACTTGAGAGGAGAGGAGTTCACGGCGTTCATGGATGGGTTATACGCGAGTTTGCGGGCGGTGATCAAGAGCGCCGACGAGCTAGAGAACATTGACGCTCTTATCGATGAGAAGCTGGGCGAGCACTCTGCCAAGTTGAACAAGGTCGACACTTTTCTCACTGACAGTTACCTGTTTGTTGAGGTTAAGAGAGAGGAGGAGGAGGAGGAGGAGGAGGAGGACAGGCTGCTGCTTGCGGCAAATGCCTTTGTTGTTGGCCATGATCTTCTTCTGAAAGTCGGGAACACTGTCACCTCTGGCTTAACTGCGAAGACGGTTTTGATGAGATGGTGAGTGATAAAAATTTAATGGCATTGCCCTTTGTCTTTATTGGATCCTGAGTCTTTATGGTTTTGTCTTTTTTTGTAACTCGTTGTTCCTTGGAGGTACGATCCGATGTCAGCTCTGCTAGGTTGTACTTGCGATTATTCCGAAATTGTGTTTATTAACTTTATTTAAGTTTATTATTATGAATAGGCATTTTTTGAATTGTGTTCATTATTACTTGCGTCTAATTACGTGTGATTTCCTATTGACTTTTGTTTGTCAAGTTGGAGCCCTCGTGGATGTTGGGATTGGTTGGGAATTGGTGTGGTTGGGCAAAGAAGAGTGAGAAATAAATCTCCTGTCCTGAAAGATGGTAAGAGGGGTAAAGTCGTACCTGTACATGTTACGGGGTTGGTGTACACCTCTAATTAAGGGGTCAACATTTTAATTAACTTCCTTGCAGACGACTTTCTAAAAGGAGTTATAAGATTTGAGTTAAGATTCCAGCCGACCTTTCAAATCCTGTTTAAGCTGTGTCTGCAATAGTTATCCTCCTCGCCTTGGCATCTGCATTTCTTCGAGGCCGTCCTCCCTGCTGTTTTTTATGCTCTAATGATTCGTTATAAGCTTCATGCACGCACACTCACAGACACTCACAGACAC